TTAATATATATATATATATATATATATAAATTTTTTTTTTCAGTTTTCATTTTAGTTTTAGTAAATTTGTTTTGTGCTTTTGCCATTTTTGGATGGCTTTTAGTGTAGATTTAATTTATTTTCCATTTATCTTAATTTTATTTAATTTTATTTCAGTTTTAGTTTTATTCATTTTAGTATTTCAGCTTAAACTTATTTATTTTTTCTAATTTTTAAAAAAGTTTTTCATCTAACGTTGTTACTTTATTTCAGTCTTTATTTCAATTAATGAAAATAATTTTAATAGTTTTAGTTTTAGTCATCATTAACAATGCACTGGTCTTTTTTATTAGTTTAGTTTTTCATATTTAAATAAATCAATATTGTTTTTATTAAATTTGTCATTTTTAGTTTTAGTTTATTTCGTTTTAAATATTTTTCAGTTATTTTAATGCTTTTTTCTCTATATCTTTAAAATTGTATTTCAGCTTTGTGCAAAAGTCAGAGAGGGACTAAAGGGTTAAAGAGCTGCAAATACTGCACGCATCTCCTCTGGAGCGGACAAAAATGTTAAAACAACAGTCCTTGTATATAGAAAGCAGAAAGGTTATTTTGTATATAAATAAATAAAATAATAGTAATAGATATAAGCAATTTATTTACTTTCATTTTATTTTATTTTATTTTTCATCTCAGTTAATATGAGCTTATTAAAACTGCTTGCATAATTATTACAAAATAAATGCTGTAGAAATGCTTGCTTTTTTTCATTTTCATTTTTTATTTTACAATTTGTATTATTTTTTTCAGTTTCCATTTTAATTTTAGTTTTGGTAGTTTTGTTATGTGCTTTTCTCATTTTTATTATGTTAAAATGCTGCAAATACTTCATGCATTTCTTCTGAAATGGTAAAAATGTTAATAGACCAGCCTTGTTTGTGTAGAATACAGAAAGAGAATTTTTTAATACATTTAGTAAAATAGTAATAAAAATAAAAGTAATTTATTTACTTTCATTTGACTGTTGAAAATATTATTTTTTATCTCAATTAATATGAGCTCATTAAAGCTGCATGCAAAATTATTACAAAATGTTTTTTTTTTATTTTAGTTTTTATTTGTACTTATTAGTTATTATTTTTTTATTTCATTTCCCTTTTCAGTTTTCATTTTCATTTTAGATTTAGTAATTTTTTTTATGTGCTTTTTGCTGCAAATACTGCATGCATCTCCTCTGAAATAGAACAAATGTTAATAGAATGGCCTTGTTTATATAGAATGCAGAATTTTTTTTAATTTCGTTAAATTTAATTTGGCTCTCATTTCGTTCACTTTGCTTGACATAAAAATCAAGAAATGAGCCAGATTGTGTCATGCAAGATATCTGGAGAAAAACACTGTAATTGACGTTTGAGACTGTGTGACGATGTTAATTGACAGGCTTGAGTCATGAGTTTAACAGGAGGCAGCGGCGTGTGAATGTGAGCTTGCTCATTATAGAGTTCGTTTTGGAGCTGCTCGTTACAGCAGGAGCGTTTAATCCCATCAGAGAGCGCTGGCCGTCCGAGGAGATGCTGTAATGCTGTGCAGGAATGAGCAAACCCAACCACTACAAACTTTACAAATATATAAACATTACTAAAATGCACTGGGTCTCTGTGTGGAGCTTTTGAGTTATTTATATGATCATCTCATACCAGTTTGTTTGTTTTTCTTTATTTTTATGTTGTTGTTTATCTGTTGAGCTAAGCATGTTAATGGCTTATTATTTGATTGCCAAATAAAGCATGAAAATGTCTGACACGTAACAAGTAAATTTAAAAAAAAAATCAAAATCATTTTAGTTCAGATGTGCTTGAATGAATGTGTATGAAAAGTTCTATATCTATGGTTCTGTAACTGGTCAACATTTAAAAAAAATTTTTTTTTTATCACTAGTTGATACAGAGTATGACAGATAATTTTTTTTTTTTTTTTTTTTTTAGCATTTTATGATTTCTTTATTAATAATAATAATATCTGCTATTATTAATAATAACTATTATTATTTATTATTATTGTCATTTTAAAATTTTTTTAAATTCCAAAATGTATCAAAAGTACAGATATTGCATATGTAGTCTTTCATATAGTCCCAAATATGTTAATATGAGCTCGTTAAAGCTGCATGTATAATTATGACAAATTAAATGCTGTTCAAAATAAATTCAGATAGTGATGATTTTATGGAAGTTTATGGAACTTATTATAACAGCGTTTTAGGATTAGTAACACTAAATAGAATTGTGTAAGTGTTGCTTCACTATGAAAAACTTTAACTTTAATCTGCAATCGGTCAGAGCGATGCTTTTTTTTTTTTTAGGCTATTAACTGTATTCCCTTGGTTGAATTACTTATTATAAAAGAGATGCTGTTCAAAATAACTTCAGGTGGAGTTTAGTATGTCACACTGATATCATGTCCACTGATTTTGTGTCTGTGTTTTTCAGACGGCCCGCTGGAGCTCCCCGTCTTGCAGCTCATCCCGACCCAGCGGCAGCTGGTGTTTCGCGGGGACCGTCTGCCGCTTCAGTGCACTGCCTCGTACCTCGACCCATCTGTCAGACTGTCCTGGAGCCACGAGCAGCGTCCCGTCCACACACTGGAGGACAGAGGGCTGTACGTGGAGGACAGCATCATTCACGACTGCTGCCTCATTACCAGGTGAGAGGGACATGATCGTATTCTAGATGCAGCATTGCCACTATCCTTAGCCTGTTTTTGCTAAACCGTGGCAAATTAAATGCTGCGCGACAAACTGTAGTGGTGTTTCTAAATGGGTTGCCAGGTCTGCATAAAAAAATCCACCCAATTGACCTATCGGTAAGCCCCTCCCCCTTAGTTACTGTTGCTCACTCGGACAAACAAACAGAGTTGTCACTGTCTTACAATGACAGCTGTCAGTGAAAACCTTCTTCCGAGGTGTTTCTGATAAATTTGGGACACAGATGGACCTTCAAGTGGGGCTTAAATATGCCATGCAGGGATATATAAAAGATATTAAAATAAATATGTAAAAATACAGATCACAATGCAAACGGGAGGATTATATTACGGTCGTCACGATCGCAAACCGATCGTAAACCGATCAACACCGTTCATATACCGCAGAGTAAGAATAAATTAATTTACATTTAACCCGATTAATATGGAGAGGCACTCTCATATAGCTAGACCTTCGTTTATGTGTTTTTGACTTTCACTGCACGCTACATGACGTGAGAACAGTTCGCTATTTAGGTTTGTACATTAGCATGGACTCACTAACTTTAACGAGATTTAGCCAGAGATATATCGCGGAAGCACATGCTGAAGCACAAGATGTGCATTGAGCAGATGAAAAGTGCTAACGTTAGCTAGTTTTAGCCAGAGATAGCTTGCTGAAGCACAAGATGACATTAACGTTCAGCATTGAGCAGATGAAAAGTGTAACTTAATGAGAGTATGACAACCAGAAAATGAACGTTTTCATCTTCATTGTGATAGGGGTTGAATGCTTAGGGACATTTTGCTCTGTTTTCGTTGGATTTAGGAAATGGAATAACATAAATTACATTGCCTATCCTCTCAGGATAACTGGAATTAGTGTTACAAGTACCCTAGGCACATCGTTTTTCCATTTTCGTAGCATAAACACCATTAAACCGATGCGATCTTCCAATGTTTCTCTATGGCGCTGAAACCTACAGATGTCCGAGTTCCGCTGCCCTGCAACTGATACTCGACTGCCATTGGCTCATCTGCGTTCGAGGGGAGGGGCTTACCGATAGGTCAATTGTGTCACAACAAACAGCGACTTTGCAATGCTGTCATTGTCGTTGTCGTTGAATGAATCGGTTGAGTGAATGAATCAATGACTCACTCGCTTGTTTCGTGAAAGAATAAGTCAGTGTTTGAATGAATCGGCTAAGTGAATGAATTTACAATACTGAATGAATCCTGGATGTAAAGAAAGTCGCTTATTTCATTCCTGAATGAACCATGCTGAATTTGGACTTGCATACTACTCTTACTATTTGTACAATATCTCATTCCACAAAAGTCTTAAATTCATGAAGTCATGACGTTAAATGTTGCATTGCTTCAAAACATGAACATCTTCCTCAGTATTTTTGTTTTGTTTTCCAATACAAATATCTAAACATCCTTAAATCAAGATACATTCACTTGAGATGCAAACTGAACATGTGAAATCTTGTTTTCTGAGAACTTGAACAAAATTAAGTTATGCTTAAAACAAGAACAAAAATCTGTCAATGGAGATTGAAAACTTGTTTTCCCTTTGAATTATGTGTTTCTTTTTTTTTGGAGCCCACTGGCAGATCTCACCTCATTTTGATACATTTCTCATAAAACAAGGCTTCTTATTTGATGTCATTTTTCTTTTTAAGGAAATATATTTGAAAACCATGGATTTGGCAACACTATCAGTATTGTTGAACAAATTGGTTGAGTGAATGAATCAATGACTCATTCATAAAGGCAGTCAGTTTTTTCGGTCTGTTTCGGAATGAATCGGTTGAGTGAATGAATCGAACGAATTGGTTGAGTGAATGAATTTATGACTCACTCATAAAGGCAGTGCTTTTTTCTGTCCGTTTCGGAATGAATCGGTTGAGTGAATGAATCGAACGAATTGGTTGAGTGAATGAATTTATGACTCACTCATAAAGGCAGTGCTTTTTTCTGTCCGTTTCGGAATGAATCGGTTGAGTGAATGAATCGAACAAATTGGTTGAGTGAATGAATCATTACAATACTGAATGAATCCTGAATGAATTCCTGAACGAACTGTAAAGAAAGTCGCTTATTTCATTCCTGAATGAACCATGCTGAATTTGGACTTGCATACTACTCTTACTATTTGTACAATATCTCATTCCACAAAAGTCTTAAATTCATGAAGTCATGACGTTAAATGTTGCATTGCTTCAAAACATGAACATCTTCCTCAGTATTTTTGTTTTGTTTTCCAATACAAATATCTAAACATCCTTAAATCAAGATACATTCACTTGAGATGCAAACTGAACATGTGAAATCTTGTTTTCTGAGAACTTGAACAAAATTAAGTTATGCTTAAAATAAGAACAAAAATCTGTCAATGGAGATTGAAAACTTGTTTTCCCTTTGAATTATGTGTTTCTTTTTTTTTTGAGCCCACTGGCAGATCTCACCTCATTTTGATACATTTCTCATAAAACAAGGCTTCTTATTTTATGTCATTTTTCTTTTTAAGGAAATATATTTGAAAACCATGGATTTGGCAACACTATCAGTATTGTTGAACAAATTGGTTGAGTGAATGAATCAATGACTCATTCATAAAGGCAGTCAGTTTTTTCGGTCTGTTTCGGAATGAATCGGTTGAGTGAATGAATCGAACGAATTGGTTGAGTGAATGAATTTATGACTCACTCATAAAGGCAGTGCTTTTTTCTGTCCGTTTCGGAATGAATCGGTTGAGTGAATGAATCGAACAAATTGGTTGAGTGAATGAATCAATGACTCACTCATAAAGGCAGTGCTTTTTTCTGTCCGTTTCGGAATGAATCGGTTGAGTGAATGAATCGAACAAATTGGTTGAGTGAATGAATCA